CTTTCCCTCCCTCCAAATGAATAGAAGCATTGAAGGAATAAGCAGAATCAATGACACCAATGAAAGGCACAGTGAATTCTTCACTGACGTCCTGAACTATTTAAAGTTACTTCATCAGGTTTGCATTTAGGAATGAATGGCTTGTTTTATTTCCAAAGAGAGAGTATTGCCTCCAACAGTGAATAATGCACTCAATTACAGTCTTTACTGTAAATGCTGAAATGAGATATTACTGTAGGCTTGACAAAGATGGCATGGAGCAAAATGGGGGAAGGTTTGTGGCATGGCTTAGGACCAGGGAATAGCAAAAAGTTTTCCAAGCTCAGCTCTGTTCATTGACCTACGTTTCATTCTGATGATTCTCTTGCTAAATCATTAACTTTTTGCCTCCAAAAAGTTAATTCCCTGGGTCAGAAGCACAGTAGAGCTTGATGGCAGTGTGTAGGAGGGTATCTTGAAGCAGGCTGCCAGGAGATCACCCAGTAAAATGTTTTCTTGTACCTATTTGAGGGCATTCCAGTTGTTTGATTTCTATTCAGCCCAAACCCAAGCGTGTGCTGCATTTGAATAAATTCTTGCCTTTGCATCAGAACCTGATGTAGTTTTCTCAAGGTAGCAGGTATAGTTGTACTCCCAGGGGAAGGTCAGGCAGCCCCATTTAAAAAGAGTGCAGTAATGCTGATTTTTTGGCTATTTTGCTTGGGGAAGTTGGCAAGTACTTGATATTTATAAATCTATTAATATTTAGACTTCCAGATAGGAGAGAGCATGTGAGCGAGTAAACACTTTACTAGCAAGGTTAGTTAAAATGTGTTGTAATTGAGACTGAGAAAACTACACTAATTGTTCCTTTCTTTTTCAACTTCTGTTGTGCTTTACCAACCTCTGATGACCTTTGTTCTGAAGTGAATACCCTTAGCTTCAGAGGGAAACTTGTATAGCTCAAATTTTACAGTAGAAGTTTTAAGTGTGGTGAAATTCCTGTTAGCTTACCAGGTTTTTTTTTGTATATGGCTAAGAGATGATTCATCCTCTGGATGATTTCCCCCC